GTATATTCTTTACAAAAATTGGATATGGGAGAAAACACAAAGAAAAACAAACAAACAAAAAATAGGCTATGGTACTACTTACCAGATAAGACAGAAACTTTTACAGTTGAAAGGTGGGAAATAGCCAGGCAATGCAGCACGCTTGTAGTACCAGCTACTAGGGAGGCTGAGGCGGGAGGATGGCTTGAGCCCAGGAGTTTGAGGCTGCAGTGCACTCTGGTTAGATGATCAGGACTATGGATAGTCACTGCATAGCCACTGCACTCCACACTCCAGCCTGGGCAACATAGGGAGGCCCTATTATCTTAAAAAAAAAAAAAAAAAAGTAGGAAATATAGCAAGAACTTTGAATATAATTTTTTATGCATTACATTTTATCATAGACAAAGTTAGAAAATATGAAAGTGTTTCAGTTTTGAAGTCAGTACTGAGAAAATAGTAGGGCTGTATGGGTTATACTATCATAATTCATAAAACCTTTGCTGCTATTGACCATGGAAAAGGAAGGAGATGAACAAAATAAATCATTTAGAAAATTGGAGTTTAAAAATAGTATCATTTCATTAAAGAAGAAATATAGTGGTGGCTAGACATGAATAAGTTAGGAAGTGTTTGACAGCAGAAAGAAAATTGCAGAATAAATTACTTGCTCAGAGAGAACAAAGGTTGAAAGGAGAAAAGATTGAGATTAGACTCCTGCAGCTACCCTCATTTTTACCATCCTGTAACAATCCTTATGTTCAGATATCTTGAATATTGTTTTTTTATACTTGAGGTGAAATTCGCATAATATAAAATTAACCATTTAAAAATGTACAATTCAATGGCATTTAGTACATTCACAGTGTTGTACAACTACGACCCTTATCTAGTTTCAATATGTTCATGTTCACCTCACTTTCATTCAATTTATTTTATACCCCCCCAAAACGTTATATCCATTAGATAGTCACTCTCTATTTCTCTTTTCCCTTAGTCATTGATAATCACCAATCTGCTTTCTGTCTCTATGGATTTATCTATTTTGTATATGTCATAGGAATGGAATTATATGTTATCTATTTTTTTTAAGAGATGGGGTCTTGCTATGTTGCCCAGATTGGAGCACAGTGCCTATTCACAGGCACAATTATAGTTCACTATGGTCTTGAACTTCTCAGATCAAGAGATCCTCCTACATCAGCCACCTGAGTAGCTGGGGCTACACAGGTACACACCACCATAATGCTTTTCAGGTTCATCTATCTTGTAGCATAAATCAGTACTTCATTTCTTTTTCACAGGTGAATGATATTTGGTTGCATGGATATACCATATTTGTTTATCAGTTCCTCTGATGATGGACATTTGGGTTGTTTCCACCTTTTGGTTATTATTGGTAATGCTGCTATGAACATTCATGTAAAACACTTTTTTTTTTTAGATGGAGTTGCCCCGGCTAAAGTGCAATGGCATGATCTTGGCTCAGTGCAATCTCTGCCTCTCGGGTTTAAGCGATTCTCCCTGCCTCAGCCTCCCAAGTAGCTGGGATTACAGGCACACACCACCACACCTAGCTAATTTTTGTATTTTTTTTTTTTTTAAATAGAGATGGGGTTTCACCATGTTGGCCAGGTTGGTCTCGAACTCCTGACCTCAGGTGATCTGCCTGCCTTGGCCTCCCAAAGTGCTGAGATAACAGGCATGAGCCACCATGTCCAGTTCACATAAAACATTTTTGTTCTTTTGGGTATATACCTAGGAGTAAAATTGCTGGTCATTTATTAATTCTATGTTTAACTTATTGAGGAACCACCAAACTATTTTTCATGGAAGCTGCACCATTTTACATCTCTACCAGAAATGTATGAGGGTTCTACTCTTTCCACAGCATTTTCAACACTTGTTTCCTATTTTTTTGATTACAGACATCCTGGTGGGTATGAAGTGCTATCTCATTGTAGTCTTGATTTGCATCTCCTTAACGACTAATGATGTTGACCATCATTTCACATGCTTATTAATATTCCATTAACATGTTTATCTTAGGATAAATGTATATTCAATTCCCTTGCCCATTTTTTGGTTGGGTTGTGTTTTAGTTTTTGATTTATACAAATTCTTTATATAGTCTGGATAATGCAGTCTTACCAGATATACAATTTGCAAATGTTTTCTCTCTTTTTTTTTTTTAATTGTACTTTGGGCTCTGGGGTACATGTGCACATACTGCATCCTGTAGGATTGCTGCATATGTACCATGGTAGTTTGCTGCCTCCATCCCCCACATCAGGCATTTCTCCTGGTGTTATCCCTCCTCATCCTCCCCACAGCTTTTTTTTTTTTTTTTTTTAATTGTACTTTGGGCTCTGGGGTACATGTGCACATACTGCATCCTGCAAGATTGTTGCATAGGTAAATACATGCCATGTGGTTTGCTGTCTCCATCCCCCCTGCCCATCGCCTACATTAGGCATTTCTCTCAGTGTTATCCCACCCCATCCTCCCCACTCCTCCCCCCACCGCTGTCCCTCCCCTCCCCTTCCCTCCACCCCCAGTGAGTGTTGCTCCCTTCCCTGTGCCCAAGTGTTCTCATTGTTCATCACCCACCTATGAGTGAAAACATTCGGTGTTTGGTTTTCTGTTCTCGTGTCAGTTTGCTGAGAATGATGGGTTCTAGGTTCATCCATGTCTCTGCAAAGGACGTGAACTCGTCATTTGTTATGGCTACTTAGTATTCCATGGTGTATATGTGCCACATTTTCTTTGTCTGGTTTATCATTCATGGGCATTTGGGTTGGATCATTAAAAAATCTGGAGACAACAGATGCTGGAGAGGATGTGGAGAAATAGGAACACTTTTACATTGTTGGTGGGAGTGTAAATTAGTTCAGCCATTATGGAAGACAGTATGGTGATTTCTCAAGGATCTAGAAGTAGACATTCCATTTGGCCCAGCAATCCCATCACTGGGTATATACCCAAAGGATTATAAATCGTTCTATTAGACATATGCACACTTATGTTCGTTGCAGCACTGTTTATTTTCTCTCTTTTTATATTAACTTTTCCACTTGTGTCCTGAAAGTCGTTTCTTCCTTCTGAAATACCTTGATAACAAATGCATTGCTAAGTATTCTCTTGCCACTTAGTCCTTCCCTAGGGCCTTCAACAATGCTCATTTTTGAAGACACTTGATGTTTTTATTTTGTTGAGATGGAGTCTTGCTCTGTTGCTCAGGCTGGAGTGCAGTGGTGCTATCTTGGCTTACTGCAAACTTTCCCTCCTGGGTTCAAGCAATTCTCCTGCTTCAGCCTCTTGAGTAGCTGGGATTATAGGCACCCTGCACCACACCCTGCTAATTCTTTGAATTATTATTATTTTTTTTTAGTGGAGGTAGGGTTTCACCATATTGACCAGGCTGGTCTTGAACTCCTGACCTCAAGTGATCTGCCCGCATCCACCTCCCAAATTGCTGTGATTACAGATTCAAGCCACTGTGCCTGGACTCTTGATGTTTTTAAAAATTTGGTGTTAGGTACATGCATGCCAATTTTATTGACCTTTTATTGTATAAAGGTTATATTCCCTCTTTCTTGTATCTGTATGTATACGTGTTTTTATATGAAAAAAATTTAAAAGGTTTGACAATAATGTCTCCTCTATGACTCTATTCTATTTTTGTTCTTGCTTTCACTAACATACTTTTAGAATGAGTGGTCTATATTTTCTGCCTCGTTTCATCCACAAATGGTGCCTCTTCAATCTCTTCAATACAATTTCTTTGTCCTGAAATAATGAAACATTTGGGTCTGTACCTGACCTTTATCAGTATTCTTTCTTCCTAGGGAATGTTACTCATGATTCATCCACCTACTTGCATTATCTGGATGATGCCTTAATCTGTGCCTCTGAACTTAAACCCTAACCCAAGTTTTATTATTTATTTATTTATTTCAGACAGAGTTTCACTCTTGTTGCACTGGCTGTAGTGTAGTGGTGCAATCTCTGCTCATTGAAACTTCAGCCTCCCAAGTTCAAGCAATTCTCTTGCCTCAGCCTCCCAAGTAGCTGGGATTACAGGTGCCCACCACCACAGCTGGCTAATTATTTTTATTTTTATTTTTTGGACAGACTGGGCTTTACCATTTTGGCCAGGCTGGTCTCGAACTCCTGACCTCAGGTGATCCACCCATCTCAGCCTCCCAGTGTTGGGATTATAGGCGTGAGCCACTGAGTCCGGCCAACTCAAGTTTTAGAGCTCTATATGCTGGATATTTTCAGTCGTTTACTTTACCAGATGTATTTCCTCTATTAATTGTTTTTTCTTCTCCAATTTTCTATTTCTTCAAACCTTATCAGCTTCGGTCTCATACCTTTGTAGCAATCATTGGCTACTCTTTTCTGTCACTTCTTCTGATCAGTCATCAAGTCTTTCGCCTTTTACTTTAAATACGCTTCATTTCCACTAAATGGTCAATCATCCCATTTTAATCCATTATCGCATAGTGCTGGAATTACTTCAATTGCTCCTCTGTGCCTGACCACTTCCTCTCCCTCCTTAGGTGATAATCTTTTAAACAGAGGACTGTGATGAAACGAGGACACAGAGGACTGTGGTGCTAGGCGAGCAAGATAATTTAGGTTATCTTTCTTTTGTGTTACATAAAGTGAAGAAGGATGTTGACCCTCCTTGATGAAGCGATGAAGCCCTGAACTGTGGCAATGAAGATGGAGAAGGATGTAAAAATCGTAGAGTCTACTGGTGACCAATTAGAGCTGGAAGGACTTACCCACGCTTATGCTTCCCAAATATGGGAGTATTTTACTACCATAAATGAAATACATCAAGTGAATTTTTGTTAAGCGAGCAATTCCCGCGCTTCTGTAAGAACTGTCAGGCTTGGAGCGGGCCAACCAGCCTCCACCATCCAGATGGCGGATCCTAGATTGGCAGCCTGCGTCTCTCTAGCTACCGTCTCTATGGTTCGGGGAATCTCCAGGTCGGGGCTTGACCGGTCCGGCTTTTGCGCGTGCGCGAGTCCTGGCGCGTGCCCGCCCTCCCGCAACTGTCCGACCCGGCGGGTGGGAGGGGTGGGTCTGGGAACGTTGCGGCGGCTGTCGCCGCGGCCCCAGCACCCAGAGCTGTTCTCCAACCAAGCCTGCGGTTGGAGTCCTTCCTTGCCTCCTGGGGCGGCAGCCACCGCCCCCAGATGGTGGGTCCGGAGGATGCCGGAGCCTGCTCGGGAAGAAACCCCAAGTTGCTCCCGGTGCCTGCGCCCGAGCCCGTGGGCCAGGACGGGAAGGTAATCCGGGCCACTGGCGGCTTTGGCGGAGGCGTCGACGCTGTGGAGCCGCCGGAGGACGCTGAAGAGGAGGAGGAGACGCCGCCTCGCCAGCTCCTTCAGTGTTACCTCGCGGAGGCCGGGGAACAGCTGGAGCCGGGGCTCTGCCACTGTCCGCTCCCCGCTGGTCAGGCCGGCGCCCAGCCGCCCTCGGCAGCTCCAACAGCGGACGCCTGTCCGCTGGACTCGGGCTCCAAGCACCCCGGCGCGGAGGTGGCGGATGGCCCCGCGCCGCGACACGGAGGCATGACCAACGGCGACTCGGGCTTTCTGCCGGACCGGGACTGTCGCGATCTGGAAGAGGCTCGCGGGCTGGCGCGCGCCGGCGGCCGGGAGTCGCGCCGCCGCCGCCCCTGCGGCCGCCTCCGCCTGGAGGGGCCTGGCGACCAGGACTCCGACGGCGCGGGCAGCCCGTCCGACTGGGCCTCGCCGCTTGAGGACCCGCTGCGGAGCTGCTGCCTGGTGGCCGCGGACGCCGAGGAGCCCGAGGGCGAGGGCAGCGGCTCCGGGAACAGCCCGGCCAGCAGCTGCAGCAGTAGCGAGTACTCGGAGCAGCCCGGGGCCGGCGCCGGGGGTCCCCAAGAGGGCGCGCCCTCTGGCCGCTCGGCCGAGAGGACTAGTGGGGGTGCGGAGCCGCGCCTGGGCTTTTCTGACATTCACTTGAACTCTCGGAACACGTTCGAGGTGAGCCGCGGTCAGAGCGCCTGCGATCACTTGCCCCCGGCGGGGCCGCCGGTGCCCTCGCCTGCCGCGGAGCAGGGTCCCGTGGGGACTTCGGCCCGGGCTCGACGGAGCGGCGGCTTCGCGGACTTCTTCGCCAGGTACAGCGCAGGCTGCGTGGGGACTCGGGGCGGGGCCGGGGCCGGGGCCGGGGCCGGGGCCTGGGTCGGAGCCTGAGCCGGGAGTCCGGAGTTCGGTCTGCCGCTTCCGTGCCGGCCCCGCAAGCGTCAGGACTTAGCTTTGATTTGTCACTGGAGGAAGAGGAACTGGCTTGGCTTTGTGTTTCTGTAGAAGTTATGAGGTCTGTGGACAGCGAGTATTTCTGTTGCCTTGTTGGCTGGAGGCGTACCTGTCAATCATACCTGGCTTCTGAGCAGTCAGGTTTGGTCGGCTGGCTAGTGCCACATCTGCACTTACCTTTTCTGGAAAAAACAGATAACCTTCTCCGTCCCCAATTTTTAAAAACTGTACTACAAGGATTTAGGTTGTTGCGGGGAGGCGGTATGTGTGTACGGGTGTGGTTGTGAAAGAGAAAAGGAAGTCATTTTGCAGAGCTGTCTATTTGCTGTATTTGCATAGAGTCTAAATCCATTCAAGTGGTTTGTGAATTCTTAAAATCAGAAGTGGTTGTGCTTCATAGTGGTTAATCATTTGTTTCAGTGGCCTTTATTAAATTGCAATTTGGTGTTTGGAATTTGATCTCAAGTATTTAAGCCAAATTGGTACTTTACCTTAGGAAAGACTTTTCTCTAATTCTCCCAGATAAGCCTCCACTTTTCCCCCCCAATAACTTTTTTTTTTTTTAATGGGATTGTATTTGTGATTTGACTTGATATTCTTTTCTTTTCTTTTAAGACAGAGTCTCATTTTGTCTCCCAGGCTGGAGTGCAGTGGTGTGATCTCGGTGCAGTGCAATCTCCACCTCCCGGGTTCAAGTGATTCTTCTGCCTCAGCCTCCCCAGTAGCTGGAATTACAGGCACATGCCACCACGCCTGGCTAATTTTTGGTATTTTTAGTAGCAACAAGGTTTCACCATGCTGACCAGGCTGGTCTGGAACTCCTGACCTCAAGTGATCCACCCGCCTCGGCCTCCCAAAGTGCTGGGATTACAGGCCTGAGCTACCGAGTCGGGCCCACAAGATATGCTTGAAATTACATTAGGGCCGGCGCGGGGGCTCACGCTTGTAATCTCAGCACTTTGGGAGGCTGAGGTGGGAGGACTGTTTGAGGTAAGAGGTTCGAGAGGAGCCTGGCCAGCATGCTGAAACTTCGTCTACTAAAAATACAAAAATTAGCCGGGCGTGGTGGCAGGGAGGCTGAGGCAGGAGAATTGCTTGAACCTGGGAGGTGGAGATTGCAGTGAGCCTAGATTGCGCCATTGCACTCCAGCCTGAGGGACAAGAGCGACACTCCATTTCTCAAAACAAAACAAAACAAAACAAAACAAACAAAAAAAAACTTATAGTGCTGGACATTGCAGATTTCAGGATGGGGCTTTGTTGATTTAATAGGGATAAATAAAAGTAGTCAGAAAATAGTTGCACATTACTGTAAAAGCAATTTCCCTTGAGTTAGATTTTGACACCCTTTTTTAAATCTCTAGGCAAATAGGAAAATATCCCCAACTTGTAAAACCTTCCTTTATAGAGTTCTCTCTACTCTGTTTTGCTCTTTTCAGGTATCTTGACTATAACCAGAAGTGAAAGAAGCAAATTCTTTGCTCAAGTTTTAGCAGGTTATGCAATTAGCATACATATTTGTCGATATAAGGGCACAATTTTCTGATTATAATTGATATTTCTTATTCCTTTCTACCTTATTCCCTTTTTTTTGCTTGTATAAATTTACAAATATGAAATTTCTTAAGAGTGGAAAATCCTAATTTTGTGTTACTAAGGACAATATATATAGTAATGAGATCTGTAGTTGTAATATAGTTGCAAAAATATATTTAAAGCGTGTACTGGCAATATTCTAAAAGATCTCAAGGTGAGTTAGGTTTATAAATTTGTGATACTGTGTGGCCTTTGGGTGTTTATTGGTCATATCTGTCTTGATCATGTTTTGAGGTCAGATGTCAGGCAATTTTAGATCTGGGAGGGGCTTTGGAGATTACAAATTCAACCATTATACTCTAAATTCATGTGGCTTTCTGCCACATATTGCAAATAGTGATGATTTAGACAACTGCCTCTGACCTGCAGGTGGGGTGCAGGCTTGTGGGGATTAAGTTTGAAGACAGATAGATACATATGTGTTGGAATTTATGACTTTTTTTTTTTTTTTTTTTTTTTGAGAAAGAATTTCACTCTTTCACCCAGGCTGGAGTGAAGTGGCCCAATCTCAGCTCACTACAACCTGTGCACCCTGCCCCGTTCCCCTGGGTTCAGGTGATTCTCCTGCCTTAGCCTCCCAAGTAGCTGCGATTACAGGTACCCGCCCCCATGCCCAGCTAATTTTTGTATTTTTGTAGGAGAGATGGGGTTTTGCCATGTTGGCTAGGCTGGTCTTGAACTCTTGACCTCAGATGATCCACCTGCTTGGCCTCCCAAAGTGCTAGGATTACAGGCGTGAGCCACTGTGCTTGGCCAACAATATTATTTATGAGAGGCTTAAATATTATTAGCAGTAGGCAGGAGTTTTATTTTTTCTTTCGTTTTCCAAGGTTTTTAAGTAGGCAGGAATTTTGATTTAATTTTACAATTTTCTTTTACTTTCAGACTAATGGAACTTAATATAGCTAGATGACATTCAGATAACCACATTATTCATATGTATCACAGCACTGGATTTGAAGTCAGAAAACTTAGGTGCCTTAAAGTTAATTTCTCTAAGCCTCATTTTTCTTGACAGAGATCTGAATGTTAAGACTCTAGGAGTCAGTGCTTTCTTTATATGACATTCTTGGGAAAGAAAGGGCAGAGTCAGGTACAGTTTTCCTTAATTGAATTCTGAGCATCTTAAAGGCAGGAACTGTGACATTCATCTCTGAATCTGCAATACCTAGCCACTGGTATGAAGAACACCATTCAGATTGGGTTCAATTGGTAGCTTTCATGGATTCCCTTTTACTGTGCTCTACTTAGGTAGTGTAATTTTGAACAGTCTCCATCCTCAGTGAAAATAATTAGAAGTTACCCTTGTCTCACAATACAACCCAAGAGATCCAACCCCAACCCCAAATGCATAGTTGCCATTCTCAACTCTGAAGCTTTGGTGAGAGTTCTCTTTGGAAGCGGCTTGTTCGGGATGGAATCTTGTTCTTGGGTCCAACCCTTACTCCCACTTCATTTATTTAGATGAGGAATCTCATTGTCTAAAGAAGATAATTTAGTTAGCTAGTGGCAGGCTGGGATTTGAAACCAGGATTCCTGATTTCCAGTCCATATTTATGTTCAGTCCATAACCTTTGTTCACTTTATGGCTCTTTTCTCTCCCACCTGTTTATCCTCCATGCTTCCCTTCTACTTCCCTTAACTAGGCAAAAATCTATAACAGAAGGATTAAAAAAAAAACCAAAAAAACAGTTTTATGTTTACTTAAGGGGGAACATTTTACAACAATGTGTCTGTTACTACATAGTTATATATTAAATTAAGACACATTGGGCAGGGCACCATGGCTCATGCCTGTAATCCCAGCACTTTGGGAGGCTAAGGTGGGTGGATCATGAGGTCAGGAGTTCAAGACCAGCATGGCCAAGATGGTGAAACCCTGTCTCTACTGAAAATACAAAA